TATTACTAATTATCAACTCGTTTTTGTTCAATCTCCCACTTGATATTACATATAGAGTAATCTATGTAAATGATAGCGAAAATTTTATGCGGGTTAATGTTATTTTCATTACAATTTAATACTTAATGTTATTTATTTATATAAATATTTATTTTTTATTTTTAACTAAAAAAATTAAAATAATTAAATTATATTTAGATATCTCAAAAATAATAAAATAATAATTTTAATTAATTAATTAAATTAATAAAAATAAAATCAGTAATAATTTATTAATTTAATTAATTAGTTAAAATATTTTTTTTAATTATTTTAGATTATTCAAATGTGATTTTAATTATTTTAATTTTTTTGTAGTCATTAGTTTAATCGGTGGATAGAAACATATTCTTGATTATAATAAATACTAATTTAAAAAATTAATTTGATAATTTACTTAAATAATAAAAAATGGACAGTGTAAAAAAACTAAGTGTCCTTTGTACCAGTATTAAAATAGTCTCACGTTTTAATTGCATCAATTAACATTTTGTATTTTTGCAAATATATCGAATGCATATTACATTTAACCAAAGATTAGTTCTAATAGCATAGAAAAATTAAAACATTGATATACATTCTTGACTATAATATTTAAAAATACATCAAATTCATATCATATTTCAATCAACTTTGTCAACTTCACATTATTCATCTCTACAAATTGTTGCATATGTTGTTGTTCAAATATATATATATATATATATATATAGATGGATGTTGCTAATAATTTATTATTGTAAGTGTCATTACGTTTGTATTATTTACTTTAAAAAAAAAAATAACACGAAAGTATCTCTAAAGTTTACTCTCCATTATTCATGCTTTATCTCGTTCGTAACATATTATATTACTAAATGAGCAATATACACCATTCGTGCTTTATCTCATTTCTTAACATTTTTTAAATTTTATTTCGTTCGTAATCTATAATTTTAACGTATTAAAATATATTGTGTTTTCAATTATATTTTTTCAAAGGGTACTATAAATTATTTTCAATTTGAGTAATCTCTCATTCATATTTTGATTTATAAGTTTTACTTTTAACCACTTCCAAAAAGAATTGTATCCTATTTACTTAATTTCATTTTAGATATTTCCATTAGCAATTATCTTATTTTTTTACATAAAATAAAAATATTATGACCGGATGGAATTAAGTCAGTGTATAGTGTATAGTATTATACTATATGATATGAAAATTACATAAAGTAAAGAAGTATTGTGTAGTTATGAGTCACATTAAGGGAAGGGAAGGGAAAAAAAAAAAGAAAGTTGAGTGCAATTTACTCATTCATAATAAAACTTCAAATTCATGACAACTGTCAATTGTATGAAGTTAAGAGATAAAATCCGGTTTGTTGTTTGAGGTTTGGCTTTCTTTATCCAGTGAAAGGGATTAGGATAGAACCTGCCCCCTTCTCAATTCCATTTTCATTTTTGTCCACATGACCATCCATCCTTCTTTTCTTCCCTGTCAACTCCCACTTCTGCACCTCCATTTTCAACTCCATTTGTGAACTCTGCCAACCTTAATTTACAGGTATTAATTATTCTCCCCCTCCCCCCTCGTCTTCAATGCATTTACTTACTTTATTTTCATTTAATTTCATAATACCCAATTATTATTTTTTTAATAAAAATTTGCCCCATTATCTTCGCAAAAGCCACAATCAATCCCGCGGAGATAGACTGCTATACCCTTTTTCATCTCTTTGCTGTATCTACGACTAAACCCAATAATTTTTTTTTTTTTTTTTTTTTTTTTTTTTTATAATAAAAAAACGAAAGAAACTCTTGAATTTCATCAAGGGTTGTGAATAGTTAAGCTGTTGGGCGGAGGCAGCATTTTTAGGGATAAGATTAAAAATTTGAATATGTTATTTTTAGATTTAATTATTTTAACAGGTGACGAGGGACAAGTTAAGAAGAGTGAGATGGCCAAAAAATTGAGCAACTGTTTACATGTCCTTTGTTGTGCAACAAAGGTTCCCGTAAGTTCTTTCTCTCTTCTTCTTTTTAATTGACCCACGAAAAGATAAGGAAATTTATTTGTGTATAATTACATATTTTAATAGGGCAGCAGATTAATTGGAAATGATCTCAACATTCTTGATTACTCCAACACCTATTTTGTTAATTGCATTGCTACTTTTAAATTTTGTATAACCAATTAGCTGAGTCTTCTAAGTGAAGGAAGCTCTTTGGATCAATAAACAATCGAGTAGCAGGCCGAGGGGATGGGGGTGTCAACATCTGGCCAGGTTTTAACCAGGGTTGACCCAATTGGGAATTTCTTAATTCTCCAATAAGCAGCCGTTTAAAGTTAATTATATTGATTAACCTTACTAGTAAGTGTATGAAAAATCAAGTGATTAAGATTGAAAGTACCTTAAATTACGGAGATCTTTTAATTACAACTATAAAATAGATAATTTTAAATTAAATTTACTATATAAAATATGTAAACTGAACATAATCATGATTAATTTTATTTATTTTTAAGTAGAATAGGAATCGAATTAAAAAAGCAAACACACCGGTTAAATAGAATATGTTTCTGGGTACGGGTCGGGTTTCTACTAGGAGCCTTATGTTGACTGCTCTATTACAACAAATATATATATATATATATATATATATTGTTTGTCAAAAGTTTGGTGGAGATTTCTGTGTAAAAATAGAAAATACAAAAAAGCAACTTTAAGATTCACAGTCAATTACAGTGGGCATGACCTCAACCCTACGAATATTCTTTTGAGTTTTTTCGTCTCTCAAACTTGGCTTACCATAATTAACTAATTGTTAAAAAAATTTCGTATTAACACATTATTAATCTCTTGGTTGTTTACAATAATGAATTAATTATTGAATTTCACATTGTTAGAATTTTTTAATATATAACCCATAATTTAAAATGTGTCATAATTATAATTTTGTTTTTTTTATTAAATGTAGTACTTTTTTATTAAACGTAATTGGTGGGCCGTTGTCGTCACGTTCCCAATTCCCGCCACGTGTCTGCCTCACACGTCACTCCATCCACCGAAACGCTGGCCGTTTATTTTTCCTTTCCGCACCGTGAGATCATGACGCAGTCAATTTGATCCACAAAAATGGGAAACCACTAACCCAAATAATAAATAATTCAACTTAAAAGGAGGTCCATCGTATCATCATACGGCCAGCTACACCGAATCATTTCTGGTTCCGATAAGTTAACAAAACACAAGACAACGCGTTCCAAGTTTATTGTCCCATGCCATAATTTAATCCGAAACTGTAAAACTTGGGTTTTCCAGTTTTAATCGCTGTGATTACCGGCTAATCACGTTTTTAACCCCATAAGTCAACGAATTTACTTATTTGACCCCGGCGAGTACAGTGGTATTATAAATATAGGCTAAATCTGTGTGGTTTTTATTAGTCAGCTGACGGAAAAGCAGTGGTTAAATTAACTGCTTAATTGTCTCCCTCGTTCAATTCACAACTCATCAGAAGCTGATCAGTGAAACAAAAGGTTCGTACACATGCTTCTTTATCGGCAACAAGTTCCAGCTTTTGGTTGGTCATGAGTCAACTTGGATTCACTTTCACATCCCCATAACCATCTCAAATCTCTTCTGATTTATATCTCTATTTTTCTTTTTGTTTCATATTTATCGTTGTTCCACCATCTTTTGATTACTGCGGTGATCAGCGGATTGGAGGTTTTGGATATTTTAATTCGATTTTCCTTCATTTCAATGCATCGACTTTGTTGAATCCACAATTTTGATCTGAATAAAAACAACAATCTTGTTGAGGTTTGTCGATATTTGTTTGGATTCATTGATCGGATGAATTTGACTCCGGTACCGGAAGATTATCCGATCTAGTATATATTCATATTATGTGTATCAATTGTCTGTCTCTCAGTCAAAGTTTCATTGAAGATAATGATTCTCATTTATTTTTTTAATATCAGAAGGAAGAGATGGCAAAGGATCAGTCATACGAAGAGGCCATTGCAGAATTGACAAAGCTTCTCAGGTACTGATTACTACATTCTCCGACTTTTCATCTTCCAAACCAGCAGTCTTTGATTTCGTGGTACTTTTACCTTTTTCCGTAAATTAGAGACTAGTTTTTGTCCTTTTCTGTCATTTCGAAATACGCTGGTTCAGCAATCTGCGCTATCCTATCCAAATAAGGTGAGTATAGATCCATCTGTTAAACCGCGTTTCGAGGTTGGAGTGCCGTCCACCGCCGATGGGTCCCAGCGATCGGTTTTACTATAATTATCTGACGGTTTATAATTCGTCATCGTTTACAGTGAGAAAGCTGAACTTTGGAACGTCGCCGCCGCAAAAATCAAAGAGCTAACGACCGAGTTGGAGGCAGCTAAGTCGGCTCAGTTCGACCCGGTCGAGAGGCTCAACTCCGGCTTCCTTCACTTCAAGAAAGAAAAATTCGAGTAACTTCCTTTCCTGTTCTGAAAATTTGACTGGCCTTCTATGCTCTGAACTTTTACTAAGAATAGTCATTCATTAACATAAATATATTGTTAAATTTTGTTTTTTAAATAAACAAATTTTATTTGTAAATTATGAAATCATTTGTGATTTTGAAATTTCGAATACTAGTTCAAATCTTATTAGTATAAACCGCTGCTTATCAAATAGCATATCAGAAAAAGTACATTTTTTTTTTTTTTAATTATTTGGGAGGTTAAGAAAAGAAAGAGGTTTTAATTGGGAAAAGACGTGTGTGGATGGGTTGCGGAGTGCTTTATCTTTTGTGTAAGCTGACTCGGAATTTTGTGGTATATGCTTTTTTCTACAGGAAGGATACTGCTTTGTTCGGTGAACTTGCCAAAGGCCAGAGCCCCAAGGTGGGTGGGTGTATTTTACTTATTGATATATACAATATATTATCAATAATTATTTGGCACATTTTTTTTGTCATTTTTACTGTTAGCTTTGTATTTATCAATTTCTTTATACATAAGAACAGAATGGTTCCGTGATCTCAGCCCTTGATTCAGATTTCTGCAGTTAAATTAATGGATTCTGTTGAATTACTCCTTTGGATTTGTGATTTTTTTTTTTTTTTGTTGTTTGTTTGTTTTCAAGCTGAAATTCTGAAATGGGAAAGCACTTATAAGGCAACACGGTGATGAGCTGTACCGTCTGGTCCACATGATTTTTATGTTTCCTTTAAAATTATCCATTTTTATTTAAATGAAATAAAATTATGTTTTTATCCCAATAATCACATGATTGAGGTGCCCAGAATAATTATTTTGCGCCGGTTAATTTTTTTTTCCCTTGTTATGCAGTTTCTGGTTTTTGCATGCTCAGATTCTCGGGTTTGTCCTTCTCATATTCTGAATTTTCAACCAGGAGAGGCCTTTATGGTCCGAAACATTGCGAATATGGTTCCATCATATGAAAAGGTTTGCCTAGAATACGTCTCCATTTCTTAGTGATTTAATTACTACCACCTAATGCCAACTTTAATCATAGTCTAGCAAAATATGAAAGCACTTCTATTTTGATCACAAAAACTGTACTTTTGCCTTTTCATTTTCTTGTAAATTAAGGATATATATTTAACTCCACAACCTTGAGATCCCTTTATAAACTATAAAGAAAGTGAACTAAAAGGGCTTGACGATAATTCTAATTCCGTTTCTGATGATTCCATTTTTCTTTTTTAATTCATCTTTTCGATAACTGGATAATCTCTATCCTACGCGTGCAATGCGCCTCCAGTTAAATGGGCATACATATTCATATATTTATTTGCAGCATCTTTATAAGTCATCTAAATAATGATATTCCTGTTAGCTATCCTTTCGATCTGTCTCTTCTTCTTTCTTCTTTATTTATTCTTTGATATTTGTTTCTTTTTCTTTTTATTTGAACTCGCTTTAATTGGTTCTAACAGAACAAGTGCTCAGGAGTGGGGGCGGCCATTGAATATGCAGTCTTGCATTTGAAGGTGAATATTTTATTATCACCTATATATCTTTTCTCATAATTTATATAACATAACTTAGTTATGTGCAATTTGATAATGTATATTTATATAATATATATTTTAATGCTGGTTCAATGTTTGGTGGATGGAGATTCTTGTGGTTGCAATAGTTAATAACCATGTCCACCGCTCCAGCTCTACCCACCAGTTCCCAGAGAATGATAAGCCTCAGCTAGCTTGTTCCCAGAGATGCATACAATTTCCTTCTTTGCCCCAGCTAGCTTTAGAAGCGAAGCTTTTTGCTTTTTACGATATTAACCGGTTATTTTCTATATATGTGCGTGTGTGTGTATGTATAAACGTATCCCATGCTTCCCTGCACCGTTGGATTTGAAAATTATTTCGAAAATGAAGTTGAAAGAGAATGACAATCCTTCAGGTGTCAAACATTGTGATAATTGGACACAGCTGCTGTGGTGGCATTAAGGGGCTTATGAACATCCCAGATGATGGTACTACTGCCAGGTAATACTTGTTACAACTGTAGCATACCACAAACTATAAATTTATTCTGCATGACATGTATTAGTTAATTAGTTGAATGAAGAGAAAGACATCGGATAAACAATTACATTAGCTTTGTGTTTTTTGTTACTTTCTACGTTGGATTTCTGCTTGTATGCAAGACTGCTAATTAATGCACTTATTTATCTGCTAAATAATAATTAATAATTAATAATTAAACAGCTTGCTGTCCTGTTTCATGGTGTGGTACCATATTCTTGGAGGAATCTGTAAATTAAGAAAGTTAAAAAGTAAAGAACATAATTCCTGTCCTTTGAAGTTATTTTAGCAAGTAGGAAGACTAATTAATGTGTGCTAATAGTTTTAGTTGTGAATCCCAAAGTATTAGGAGAGTTATCCGGTTAATTACTTTTTATATTGTCGAATTGTCTCCACATGTCTCCATAGAGAAAAGGCTGAATTCTCTCACTCACCTTTTTTATTTTTTAATAATCAGTGATGGAAAACTTACCATATGCTCTGACTTTATACGCATGTCTTTTATCAAAAGTGTTTCTGGATCGATTCTTTTGAAGGGTACATGTCGGACCAATTTTTGTGTACGACACACTAATGTTTGAAAAGGGAATATTAATATTATTTACGTGCTTCCAACAAATTGGATTTTCTAGATATACTTATTATTTATTAAAATTTCAGGCTATAAATTGAAAAAAGTAATTGCGAAAAAGCTAAAAAGAAGATGTAATGCGGTTCTAAAGATACTTTTCCTTTTGTTCTTTTTTACGTATAAATTACAGTGATTTCATTGAAGAATGGGTTAAAATCGGTTCATCAGCGAAGAACAAGGTGAAAACAGAATGTGGCAGTTTAACTTTTGAAGAGCAGTGCACAAATTGTGAGAAGGTTAGTAACTTATTGCATCTTACTTGTCCATACTTCATCACTAATATAATATAAATATGATTTACTCAGCGATTACATATAATAATGAACTTAAAATACAGATGCAAATTTATTCAAGCTCCTAAGTCATGTAAAATATTAAAAATCTTGAAATGTGAACAGGAGGCTGTGAATGTGTCGCTGGGAAACCTACTGACATATCCATATGTTAGAGAAGCGTTAGTGAAGAAAACACTAGCTTTGAAGGGCGCACATTACGATTTTGTTAATGGAACTTTCGAGCTTTGGGATCTCAACTTCAAAGTTACCCCTGCCATAGCTTTATGAACAAAATTTTTTCTTTCCTCCTCACTACAGTGCATAATACGGGGTAACGGGAAAAGTAATAAACTTTAGTCTCAACTTGTATCTTGCTTCAACAATAATTTATTTTGGCGTTCGTTGTTCCCATCCACCTTTGAAGTCGATCTGTTTTTCAGGTGGTTACTTATTTTTAATTGGGAATTAACTTTTCCTTGAGAGGTGTATGTATATTTCAAGTGACTTTTATATGCTCTTTCTGCTGATAAAAAGCGCATTTGCGTTATATACTTCATTGTCTTCTTTATCCATTTTTCAAGTCAACCCAAGAAACAGATGCATGAAGCCCATTATAATTTTAACCATTTTAACCACTGTATGGACTTTACGGTCATTTTAATCGGTCGTCAACCCCTGTTCAAAGTCGGATGGCGTGAGGAGGACAGATGTCTCCACCAGGCACCCATTATGGACCTTCTTCACCTAAAGTCTATTGCACAGCTCACTAAGGTTATGGGTTTTGACTCTTGATCCAGTTTGAAAAAGTCAAAACCCTCTCCATCTCTGATTTTACAGAAACGGTGCCGGATCTTTCACTTGTGGATGCTTCAATATTGAACATAAAAGATAGAATATGTCTACATTATTTTTTGCTTCATGCATCTACAACATTTACATGTCTCTTGGCATTCCAGAACCTAAAGTATTTGATTGACATCTTTACAAAATGAAGGATATGTTGAGTTCTCTTTTCTCCTTCAAGGAATTGGATGAACGACCACCTTTCCAGTAGCACGGTTTGTTTCAATATAAGAGAAAGCTTCGGCAACCTGGGAAAATGAGAACGGTCCTTTGGGATCGATCACTGCCTTCACCTTCCCACTCTCGAGATACGGGTTTAGTTTCTTCAGTACATCTCCATTAGAAGTAACCACAAATCTGAACCCGGGAGGTGTGACAGCTCCGGTTAAGGCCACCACGCTGCCTCCTTCTTTCACTGCCTTCACTGCCCTATCACACTGCCCTGTTATTTTGAAAGGAACACCACAAAGTCAACACTAAAACTCTCCACTAACAGCCTTTTCCTCCATCTTTGATGGATCAAATATAGCAGACTGATTCATGCAAAAATGCATCCAACATCATGAACTTTGGATCCTTACAATGCTGTCCAAAGCATTGTTGGAAATGACGTTACTTACCAATAGCATCAAAAACTACATCAAATTTTTCGGGTAAATCTTCAAAGTTCTCTTTCGTGTAGTCAATAGCCAAATCAGCACCCAAGCTTTTTAGAAGCTCCAATTTTCCAGTGCTTGAAGTGGCAGCAACTCTTGATGCACCAAAGACTTCTTTTGCAAGCTGTTCCAGCCACGAAAGGGAATTAGGTCTTTAGGTTCAAATATAAGGCTAAAAAATGCAACATAGACTATTACAAGTCGTTTATGTATATTTATGTTGTTTGGTTTTAAAAATTCAGTTACCAACTACGAGAATACCTTAGAATGTGAAGCAAGTATTCAGAGACATTTTTCTCATGTAATTGGTAGAATTATGTTCTCCAACCTTTTCTTCTTATGACAACCCAAAAAAAGGCCAGGTGGATTTGAAACAAGTAGCAGAGAGCAAGAAAAGAAATGGCAAAGGGAAAAAGGTTGTGGAAAACTTTCCAATGCAACCAGAACTATGAATTGGAAAGTTGATAGCATATCTGACAGCACGCAGAAATAAAAGAAAATGTATACAGCAATGATAACGGTTGTGATCTACCACAGCAAAATGTGAGTACAACAAATGAGAATAACAAGGAACGAATGAAGAAAGGACAGACAATCAAGACAAGAAAGGATACAGCAAAACTGCAAGAGATCGTATGTTATGCACAGTCACAAACACTAACAGGCATTCTTCAAAGTTCAAACAAACAAAAATATTTGCACCAAATAAAATTATCCTTCACCAAATATTTTATGAGATGCCTCAATACACTGGTTTACATTCTATCAGAGAAAAATATTGATCCAGTGAGAAATAGAGTACCTGAATGACCAAACTCCCAACACCACCAGCACCATTGAGAACAAGAATAGATTTACCAGCTGAAAAGCCTGTTCTCTCCAGACCCTCATAGGCCGTCTCAATGGCAAGAGGAAGCGCAGCAGCCTGAAAAAAGTCCAAACTCTTTGGTTTCAGGGCCAATAACTTCTCTTCAACCACAGTGTACTCTGCAAGAGAACCAAACTGCTTTGGCCCTTCAAGTGCTTTCTCATTTATGTTCCCATATACTTCATCACCCTCCTTCAGCTCCCTCACTCCACTACCAACCTTAGCCACCACACCTGCAACGTCATAGCCTGGAACGGTCTATGAAGAAAGTTGAACAGCACATTCAATTATTGATCACTCCACCAACATAATATAATCAAACAATACTCTAATTATACAATGACGATAAGAATCAATAAGAATTACGGATTCCATTTGTCACTAAATATTGCTGCCATAGAATAATTACTTTCTCAATATTCCTCCAAAAATCCAGAGAAAGAGCTTCCGCGAGGCATTCCTTTCAGGATTGAACGACAAAAAGGCCCAGTAAAATCAAAACCCACATCCTTTACTACTTGACATGCAACATTAGAGTAAAAAAAAAGCTTATCTTCTTAATCCCTATAGATTTCAAGGTCTTCACCTAGCAGATGATAATAACGTATTTACCAACCAGTATGTTAAAACTCATGCGCTCAAACTGAAAGAAGGAAAGTCTTACGTGCTCCATCTTCTCAGCTACCTTCTCACGTTGGAAATATATGACCCTATGTATCGACATTTCCCAATTCACAGTTGGTATAAATAAAAACCAACAGTTAATGGGATAAATTGCTTAACCTTTTTAAGATTTTCTCAGCTACCAAACATTACTCGGAAAGAACATTTCGAGAATGGGAAAATTACCGGGAGGGGAGAATCTGTAGCCTTAAACTTGCCCTGCCTCCTCTTGGCATCAACAGGGTTAAGAGCTGCAGCCATAACCTTGATTAACACCTGATCCTCGTTCACTTGGGGCACCGTTACATTTCTATCAAACTTCAAAACCTCAACACCCCCATATTCCCCGTATACCCAAGCCTTCATGTCACTGGGGAGAGAGAAGGAATTCACGGTCTCGGTGGCAGTACGAGCGGGCTGAGAACTTGCAGACACCCTGAGATGAATGTGAGAGAAGTATGAGGTCTGCTTGAGAGAAGAAGACGTGGGGGACGTGGGTGTGTTTCTGTTTTCCCGGAATCTGAAGGAAAATCTGCAGGAAAGAGGTGAGAGAGGATGAGAGAGTATGACATGGGGAAATGTGGTAGATGCGAGAATGGCTTCCATTGTTCTCGACTCTACGGCTTATCTCTTACAACTGGTGATGCCTTTTCATACCTGCGTCTGTGTTGGAACTTGTCTTTTTTACAGATGAGGAAACAGTAAAGAGATACACGTGTCTAAAACTATGTGGCTCCGCATGAATGAAAATAAGATATATTATAATTTCTTCTGTATAATTTGAGCTATTTCTAGTTTAATCTTTATATGGTTTTTTTCTTAACGAAGGTGAGTATTATTCCTTAGTTTAAATAAAATTAGATAAATCATACTGTTATTCTATAATCTATGATGTATTATCTATTATGTATAAAATAATACCAAAAATTAATACATGGAGAATCGATACATATGATAATATACATAATAATTGGTATTTAAATTGTATAAATATAAAAATAATGTTTAATATATGAAGCAAAATTAACGTTATATATAGATAATAATTAGATAGTTAATTCTTTAATGTGATAATTGATAATATTTATCTGTTTAATCTTTTAACTATATGTAATAGTTATCTAATTAATTTTTACTTGACTGAAAATTCTTAAATTATACATATATATATAAATAGTTGATTACTTTTTTAAAAAAAATTTAATTCATTCGATGAATTCTTAATTTAAAAAAATACGGATATAGTAATTTTTTTATATCTATATTCAAATTTGTTTACTTTTATATAATTTTTACATTAATATTGTTTATACCATTTTTTATGTAGTTATAAAAATTATATTTTATACTTGATACAAGTCACAAAACTTTTTACTGTTAAAATTTTTTCATCAATTTAAATTTATTTCTGCAAAGAATGAAAGTTTTTTGCTAGGGTTTAAAACAAGCGGACGATGGCGATTGTAAGCAGAAAATGAAGAGCTAGAAATCAAAGTAGTTATTTGTTATAGTCATTAATAAAGTTTTGATATATTCTAGAATTGCAATTTGTTTTGGTTTGTTAAACAATTAGTTAGGCATTTTTTTCTCTTTCTTAAGTGGATAAACAGCCTTGTACATAATAAATTAAAAAAAGACATATAAAAACATGTAAAAAATGAATTTTTTTCTCATTCATTTTCTTCACGGTATCAGAACAATGCCTGTACTAAGTACTATTTTTTTCTCCTAATTTCATTAACCTTTACTGCTAATCCACCCTTACAATGGCGAACCCAAACTCTACTACCGATATTCTGACTCTCCAAAACTCAGATAAACCTAGAATGCAGCTTGTAATACCAGAGTCTGGAATTTGGTCTGAGATTAATTTTTACATTCGAAAATGTATAAAAATCTATTTTTTGAAATTAATAAATTTTAATTTAATGTGAAATTATGAAAAAAAAATAGGTTATGTATGAAATTAAAAATAATTTTGGAAAAAATGGGTGAAAATTTAGGTTTGGATGGTATTTTTGAAAAAAAAATCAGAAACTAAATGTCAGAATACAATTTTAAAAAATTGTACCACGTAGGACTGTCCAATCAGCAGTCTCAACGAACGGAGCGCGCTGTGTGGCAAGGCAAGCTGGCGATCCGCGTGCCCCACGATTAAATGGCCCAGACATCTTCCTGCGTGCGTGGACGGTCTGGATCTGTTCCCTCCTCAGGCACGATCGGATGGTCGCGATCAAACGTGATGAACGGTCTATATTTATTTTCTCCTTAGGCGCGATCGGACGGTCGAGATCAAATGCAATAAATGGTCCATATTCATTTCGTCTTTAGGCACGATCGAGCGGTCAAGATTAAACGTGATGAATGGCCCAAATTTATGTGAGATAGATATAAATATTTCACTTCACATAGAACCTAAACCCTATCCGCTAGCCCCCCGTTGGAGAAGAGAGCTGACTGCTGCCCACCGTCGTACTAGAGCCACTTCCGACTGCCAAAAAAAGGTAACAATTCTCCCACCCGCTCAGAATTCGATTCCGAGCACCCTTGTGGCCAAATTGAAGCAAAACAAATGGCGGGTGAGCTAAAAATTGCATGCAAAGTTCGGCAGCGCTGCCACGGGTAAAACCCACACTGCCTCCGATGAGCTCCTTCCCTATTCCTGTTTCATGTGATTTTTTTCATTATTGTGTTCACTGTTCTGTTTTCTACAGGTCGATCAAAGGAAAACACTCAGCCGCGAAAGTAAGCCGGTGAAGTCGTCGCATTGGAAAATTCCATCGCCGGTAGGTTTCTATTTTTTTATTTTTTTTTAGGCCAGTTGAGTTCCTTTAACGTGTTTTCTTGTAGGGATGGGTATAAAATTGACTGAAACCGGTCAAAATCGATTGAAAACAGCCAGGTCGAGGTAAACCACCACTGCAGACAGCAATGCCATCACCGGAACACGGTGGTACCACCGTGCTGGAATCCCAAAATTGGCCGGAAAAGGGTTTTTAACACTGATTTTGGATTTTTGGGTATTTTTAGGTACATAAAGCATATTTTAATCTTCGCAGAAAAATTCAGAGAACTTGAAGACCGGTAGTAGGTGCATTAGAAGTTCGTTATTTCAGACACCGATTCGGGTAAGAATCCATCGCCTTATTCTCTAATATGGAATTGAAGTTTATTATGAATAATACGGTATTTTGTATAATTTAAAAATTTTTTAAAATTAATTACAGGTTACTAATGGAGCCGAAACTGGTTGTTTATTATTATTTGTCATGTTTTAACTGATTGTTTGATTTTATAGTTTTAAATACATGATAATAGATTGGAATTAGTAAGATAATTCGGTTGTATTTCCTTGATGCATGTATTATTTGTCTTGCGTGATTTACGGTTAAATTATAAAACTGAAAATTAAAATATAAACGAAAATTGATTGGTGAAGTGAATGAGTGAATGATTGTCTTACTGGATATCCTAGTAGATGGTAGATAGACTGGGTACATAAAGAACCCTACCGTGAACGTTGCCTCATATCGGACGGGGTATTGAATAATGGTATCTTTAGCACTTATACCGGACGGGGTATGGAGACGACTCGATTCACCCTCATACCAGACGGAGTATTGAGAAATGATACTTTTGGCGCTCATACCGGACAGGGTATGAGAACGGTCGGTTAGTTGACAAGGTTTGATATGGGTTCACTTATAGTGGGACATCTGTAACGACCTCAGAAATCCAAAAGGAAAATATACCAATTTAAGTGCAGAAACGAAATAAAAAGTTAAGGTTTACATCTCTTACACAATAACTTAAAAGTACTAAACAAACATCACGGAATGAATTATCTGAAAGAAACATGAGAAATGAGAAAAACAAAGGAAAATATAAGGAATGAGCTACACTAACCCAGTAAGGACATCACACTATATCACTGTCACAGAAGTAAATGTTGGTAGAAAATCAAAGCAACTAATGGAGCAGTAGATTTAAACCAATACATTAATTTAAAATAAAACTATTTACTCTTTTTCTTACCATTGAAGAATTCATGAAAACAACCTATAAAGATAATAACATCATACAGATCATAATTTCATGCATAATCAACTATCACGGTACATATTATAAATCCGTATCCATTAACAATAGACGAACTAGTAACCGTTTCTCGTTTCACCAGCATGCTAGTATCCATGGGGATCCATAGGAGTGTCCCTGTTACACGTGAACCCTTTCCCTTAACAGTCTTAATTATATAGCCATCCCCATACCCCGTCCGGTATGAGCGCCAAGATATTAAACCTCAAGACCCCGTCCGGTATGAGGATGAAGTGGGCCGTCCCTATACCCCGTCCGGTATGAGCGCCAAATTACCAAGTCTTCATATCCTGTCCGGTATAAGACAACGTTCACGGTAGGGTTCCCTATGAATCCGGTCCGTCCACCATCTCTCAGGATATCTAGTGAGGCTGCCATCTTATCTGTTTATTAGATCACACCCCTTTCCTGTTTTTCCTCAGTCTCCGTTACCAAATCAAACACAATCACATAAACAATGAACATGCATCCGGTAATGCAATCATATCTTAAATTTCAAAATCATACAGTGGTCAAGTAAGCAGTGATACATGCATTTAAAACCATAGAATAGATAAACTAGATACCATAATGCATTTAAACTATAAAATAAATCAAACAGAAATCGACAGAGAATAATGTCCGGTTCGGGCTCCATTAGCAATCAGTAATTAATTATGCATATCTATTTAATTTGTACAAAATACAGTACTATCATTTATTCAAACTTTAATTCCATGATAGGAAATAGGATAAGGAGTTTTTACTTGATTTGACGCCAAAAACTAAGTGGTTACTGCGCCTACGGGCGGTCCCTGAGTTCCCTGAATTTTTTTTCAAGAACTGAAATGCACTCACGATACCTACAAATGTCCCAAATAACCCAAAAATCATACCCAGGGCCTACTCGGCCAATTTCGAAAATCCGACACGGCGGCTCCGCCGTGCTCCAGCGATGATGTCGCCGTCCGTGGCGGCGATATGCTTCGGTTTGCTGTTTTCTGTCGAAGTCAGCAAAATTTACATCATTTTCTGCGAGAAAACACACTTAGGGCCCTCGGTGGGCCGAAAAAATGTAGAAAATTAAAACTCACCAACGGTGGGGCTCTCCGGTGCGGCGGCTCCTCTGGCTCATGTTGCGGTTGGGTGTTTTGCTCTGGTCAACCTGTAGAGAAGGAAAATGTGATCACAACGGTGGAAAAATCACATCGAACGGGAATCGAAAAGGGCCTCATCAGAGGCATTTTTTGAAACACCCCGTAGTGGCACCGTCAAGCTTCGGCGGCATTATTCAGCCAATTGGCTGGTTCTTTCGCTCTAATTTGGCCATGGGTGGATTTGAAATTAAATTTCGTACAAGAGGAAAAAATTTTACCTCGTTTGGCGATCGAAAATTGCTCTGGTGCGGCGGCGGGTGGCGGTAGTCAGCTCCCCAGCGGTTGGGCTGTCTTCTCCGGTGAGAGGCTTTGGCTGCTAGGGTTAGGGTTTGGGTGCGGATAGGGTTATTTATACCCATCCACTTTTTGATCTGGGCTATCTATCGCTTTTGATCTGAACTGTCCAATCGCGATTAAATAGAGAGTG